CATGCTATCGCCGACTTCTTTCGGTGACGCTGATTGGTTGGCCGAATCGGGGCCGAGCCGTTCCGATAAACGATTGCGTTGGGGGACAGGTACGGTACGCAGCGCGCAACGACTACATTGAACACTTTAGCGAGATAGTACCGGCAGCGATCTTAAGGAAGCCAAGCTCAATAGGCCTATAATACACGTCCAATCATATTAAGAATACCTAAAATTGGTAGTAGGCCTAGGCCTAATTGTGATTATCTAGACGTAAGAGATATTATAAATTATACAATTCATCAGTTCTATGACAATTGGAGAAGAATGTGAATATTGCAATTAATTTTAAGTGGCAACAAGCAGTGCAGCGATTGCTGTGAAAATACAATAGCGAGATTGTTCTATTCTTTATAGGCCAATAAAACACGCCCAATAATATTAAGTGATTAAAAATCTCTTAAATAGGTAGGCCTAAGGATGAATATATATGATTGAAGGAATATTACACAATTCATTCCATTATGGCAATTGGATTTTAACGTGAAAAATACCGTAATGATTTTAAGTAAACTTGATTACAGAAACCGTCTGTTTTCTCGATAGTCTTAGAACATAATGACTGCCGTAATAAATGCGAATCCACGTAATGATAATAAATGGTTAGTTAATCAACTATCTCAATATAAAACATTCGCTACTTGACCATTTGACATCATCAGAGACGAGTTGTTACTATAGAAACAAAATTGTGTTAATTAAACAAATTATTAATTATTCGAACTAATTAGAATAATCATTATTATTGTTATTATTAATATTTTTATTACGTTTGAGGTATTTAATGCACATTTAAAACATATAAAAAATCATACTACAGCATGTACAAGAAAAGTTCATAATTTCATTTAAAGTCGCATAAAACAAGATTAAAAGGAAACGGTGACGAATGCGAGCACTCACAATGACACAAAAACCAATCACACACCCACAAAAAAGACAACATTTTAAAAATAACATATATTAGAGATAAAATAATTACATTGAGAATTGAAATAAAAAGAAACAAAAAACAAACAAGCACACCCCCCCCCCCATCCACACACACAAACCAACCAACTACACATAAAATAGCCTAGTAAATTTTTTTTAAATCACAAGAAATTATTATTATTATTATTATGTAAACATGACACTCAAGTGGTTAAAATCACCTCCTTTGACCTCAGTTTTCAGCTGATGCCCCTCACTTAATCATCGAACTTCCACATAATCTTTACCCCACCCACACACATCAACACCCCCTCACCCATGTCAATACTCCAATCTGGAAAACGCTTCCATGATTAACCAGGATATTTTGGAAAAAAACTAAAGGAGATGATGCGCACAGATGATGACGTCATCTTAAATTACGCACATTGCTGATTCATTTATCACCTACAAATAATAATTCTTATTAAGTCATCGATTCCAATTACAGACAGAAATACAAAAATAGAGAAATTTAAGAAAAACGATCACTCCTCTAGAAAATGGAGAGATATTCTAGATCGGAATGTGGATGATGCAGCCATATTACGTAAATTATAATTTAAATCACCGTCATTCGTGATATTTAATCGCCATTACATAGTTATCAATATAAGTAAAATGTCAACTGGAATGGTATATTTTGATGGTGGCATAGTGCTTAATTACAGATATATAAATACCGGCCTCTGTATTTTAATGCAACTCTGTATTATTAGCGATATGTTCTACGCACGTTCATTTCTAAATAATTGGCATCTTTTTGATCTACTGACGTTGAAAATAATATCAATATAATATGATAGAATTTAAGGCAGGTAAAGTTTGAAACATAATAATTAGCGTACATTCATGAAATCGAAAGAGAAATTCAAAGCGACAAAAAATTGTTTTGAAGGCATACATCGAGTACGCCAAGGGCACATACATTTTTTGTTAAGAATGTTATCTACAATAATAATTTTATCTATACCTAATTATATATGCCTATTCTAGCATGCCTTGTTTGAGTAAAAAGATAAGATAGCAGTTTAACAGCATATTGATCAATGCAAAACTTATGCAATAATAAGATAAGCTTGACATTCGAATATTTGTTTAGCCTATAAACCTCAGGAACCTGCGCCCTATTGGCGCTCTCTTCTATACACTCCATTTTCTTGTTTGCTCATTACTAGCTTTTGTAAATAGGCCTATTTTTCTTGAAACATTCGGAGTTCGGATTCAATGCACATCCTGGTTGTTTGAATGCTCTTGGGCATCCATTATAAAGACTGCACAAATTATAAGCATATAGAAGTACAAAGTGCTTATACAAGATGTTTTGTGTCCTGTCAATTGACAATTACCAGTGGTGTGTTTAGAGGTCCCCTAAAAAACGCGCTCTCCCCCATTGAAAAATTTCAAAGCAAAAAAATCACTCTAAAGGAGAAACATCCCCTGCTTATTTTGTAGCTCTCTCACTTAATCATCGAACCTCCCTACTTCAATATTGCGGGCGCTCCCCCATCAGAACTACCCTCCCCCTTTTCAAGACTAAATACAATAGGCCTCACACACCACAAAATGCTATTTCTACACATATATACACACGAGATGCTCATCTTAATATTGGAAACCACAACAATCAAAGAAATACCAGTATTTTTTTTTAAATATCAAATTTTAAACTCTATTTTAAAAACACAGTTATTCCAGATCACGTCCTAGATTATTTAACAAAATTATATACATAATTCATTATTTGATATATAATTCAACATTTTTTATAATGATTACGGCGTTAAATAATTATGTGAAACCATTATTATAATGATGTACATGCATTATATACATATAAAATTAGTTTTCTTCGAACAATTATATATAAATAATTGGTGGAGCGATTTTTCTTATTTATAAATAATACGATGTTAAAATAATTATTTATATATAGGCTAATGACTATGAGTAAAAACATTATTTATATATAATGACTTTCGGCACTTCAATTATTTATAAATAATGTTTTGCTCCTTTACCTAAATTACTTATAAATAATAAAAATCGCTCCATAAATTATTTTTATATAATTGTTAGAGGCAAAACTAATTATATGTATATAATGAAAAAATGTTGAATTATATATTAAATAATAAATTATATGTATATAATTTTGCTAAATAATGAATAGGTTGTCAAATTCAGCAAGATACGAAACTATTCAGCTTTTATGAACCCCATTTTAATACTAAGTAAGCATATTATGTACAGTATTATATATACTTGTCAAATAATAAATAGAATTCATAAATTATTAACATTTAAAAGGTTAAAAGGTTAAAGGTTATTCATTGATAATTGAATAAGCCTATGGTTATATAGTTATAATGTTCGCACCTCTGTTTAAATGACTTCTTCTGCGGAACTGGGGGCGGGGGGTGCGCGAAAAAATCGATAATGCGGAACTAAATCCCTATTTCATTGAAACCTTAATGATCAGTTTTAGTATTTTAACTTACGTAGTGGAACTAATGCACTGCCATTAGGGGAGGAGGTGCGTCCGCACCCTCAGCCTACACCCATACCGTTATATGGTCGTAGGAATACTAATTTGCTAACTCTATTAGGCCTACCATGGAGAAAATAAAATATTTTATTTTATTTTCTCCATGGGCCTACAGCAGCCTACTATCAATACGGATAACGGTTTTCATGTTTGTTTAGGTCTAATCAGGTTTTGCAAGGAGATAATCCAAATTAGTGGCAATTAGTGAGAAACTATTATATCTCGGACATCAACTGGTCATCTAATGACGGCGTCAATTATAAGAGAGTCATTGTGTACAAAGGAGAGGAGCTTGAACCCAAGAAGCACACATCAGACGTCAATGTTTACTCCTCGTGTTTACTATCACTCTCAAAATTGTCAATGTCAAAGCAGTTACGCTAATTGAGCAAGTCAATATCACCCGACCCTCGAATTGATAATTACGTAATGAAATGATAAATAAAGAACAAAATATATGCAATTGATCTCGGTTATTAGATCGAATACTGATCAACAAGGTTCACAGGCCAATGACAATTTTCCATCTTTCTCACCAGGATACAAAACATACGCTTGGGAAGGATTTTGAGGATCTCAAAATGGAAATTACAGACCTCTCAACCCGTACGCATTCGCCGTACCTCTCAAGTCTTACGCATTCCAATCAAATCTTACGGTCTTACGCAAACACCGGCGAAACTTACGCTTATCCTAAAATTTGAGTAAATTTTGTTTCTTTTTTCAATTCAGAAGGAAAAGAAGGGAAGATGCCTTTCGTTATCTTAAAATATTTTTCAATAACTACTGTATCTGAGATCATTATAATCTCACTAATATCGATTAGCCTTCAATAACTACTGTATCTGAGATCATTATAATCTCACTAATATCGATTAGATATGCCATTTAAGCTAAAGCGTCGGGACCCCGACCAGGAGCCCTTGGCGGCCCCCTAGCCCCCCCGCCACTGTTCGTGCCTTCACCCTATCTTACTCTTTGAAATTTCTCAAGGTTGACAGGTAGGCCTATGAAATTATCATTTTATTATGTACAGAGTACCATGCTCAATTGGGACGGGTTACAGATATGGAGCACGTTTTGCACTCTCTTCTTGACAAAAAGTAGAAATTTGTACAATGGCTGGCACACTGCGTCGACCGACGAATTCGATCCGCTGACCGTTGGTTAGCAGATTTGAAAACTATCGCCGTGGTCTCATGGAATTGCGTCCAATGCCCAGACAGAATGCACTAAATAAAGCAAGGTGATAATGAATTGCTCATACACATGTGACACTACGCTCTGAGTGGCAGCCTATCACAAAACAGTATATTATGATAAATTGCTGGCGAACTTGAGCCTATGCATTAAATAAAAGACAATCACAGTAGTTTTTAAACAAGCACACAGGCTAAGGATGAATTCTTAAAATGTGAACCATTAAAAAAATACAACAGCATGTCATAAAACATCCACTTTAATGAATTTGTTGTTTAATATACAATGATAATGCTGGGGCATATACAGAAAGTGCTCTACATTTTATACAAAACTACATTACAGTCTGTGGAAAAAAAACGAAATGAAAAGATATAATACGCATGCAATATCAAAGTATGGTTGCAATTTCATATTTACATTAACTGTTATATTGAGAATAGACAGCTTGACAGAGTAAGCAAACTAGAGATGTGTACTACACACCAAGGAACTCACTGCTCACTCACTCACCAATAGTGTCTGCTAAGGCTGATCCTTCAGTATCACTAGCAAAGTGATATAAACATATAAAAAGTACAGTTAACTACTAATAATTAAACATAAACATTGCAAATTAAACAAATAGTATTTGTAAAATTAATGAAATAGTAATGACTACTGCGATTAGTTAACAGATTTTGGCTCACCCACTTTCATTATACAATATGACATTTATTTATCTATGTTCATGATTAACTAGGTCACAATGCATTGTTGTTATAATAACAATAGTCACGTTGCATCTAGTACCAGAACTAATTATTGTGCAGTATATACTGTCCAAAATGATAGTGTTGATATAATAACTGATAAACCCATACCAAGTATTTATAAAATTTCATAAACTGATATAATAATTATGCACACTTAGTAATTAGTTATTAATAATATTCAAATTTGTTATGAAAGTTGTTATGGTTACAACCATAAGCAACAAACATCTATACAGGATAACTTAATCTGTAACAATAACGAACAACATAAAATGTGTTAAATCAATCGATAATCTTAAATATTTTCAACTACAAGTAATTTATTTTTCTAGAAGAAAGTCTAAAATAATAACAATACTGATAATAAAAAAATAATTCAAATCCTGTAAATCCTTTAATCAAGTAAACAAAATGTTTTTATTAATAAAATTTATAAAAATTAACTAAAATAACAAAATACCCTAATTTAAATCTATTAGGCCTATCATGAGAAAAAAAATATTTGTTGCAATACTTCACATTTTAGCAAAACATCTTGAAAAAGTTGTTTATTTAAGATATATCTGACTACTGAAACACTTTAATTAAAGATGTAAAGTTTGATGTATTGTATGTGCGTTGGGCAACATCACATACAGCGGCTGTATAGCTTGCAAACAGTTTAATTTATATCCTCATAATACATCACTAGACCTTGAACTTCCTGCAAGAGAAAACATTCACAGTTATTTGTTAAAATTTGTTTGATCATTGCACGACTTCTAGGAAACAAATTTAATTCTTATAATAAAAATTATCTGAAATGTAAAAGTAATTATCAAGAGCTACAGTTGGAGGTTTATACTTACTTTCAACATGAGATACAGTCATGTTGCCAGTAAGTATAAACCTCCAACTGTAGGTTTATAATTACTTTCAACATGAGATACAGTCATTCTTAAGAATACACAGCTAATTTACAACTGTGGATTGGATTACGTAACAAATTTGAAACATATTAAATTCCCAATAGCTGTTTAGGGTAACAAAAAAATAACAATGTGTAAACAATTGCACCTGGTTTGTAATAGGTATATAACAATAACATGTTTTTGTATAAACAGCAAAGTAGACTGTATTGGTTTTAACTGAACAAACATATTACATATATATATATATCTCGGTATCTTTATTCAAATATTCAAAATACAAACAAAAAGTCCACAGCAGCCAACGGCTGAATAGAGGGATTCAGCGATGGGTGTCACGTGACCTAACTTGGGTGTTGGATATAAACAATCCACTGACACAGTGTTTTACATGGAGAATTCCATTGTGGCTATCTCTTTTTATTGTTGTAAAGATCATCATAATTCCCAGTAAAGTATGCCAAATTGATTGGAAATTAAACTTAAGAATTTTGCCTATATAATGTTTTGCTAATGCTGTAAAGGATACTGACCGCTCACATTGAGATTTTTCTACAAATGTTAGGCCTAGGCCCCCTGCACATCTACGGCATGGTTAGGTATGCATGATGGTCTTCGACCCGCAAACTATGCTGTGATGTTAGGGCCAGCTAAGGTTTATGAAGGATCACTTAAATTTCAAAGCATACAATCCAAGGAGAATACTAGGATAAGTAAATAAACACTATTTTGAACAATGGTATTGCCTTTCCTAGCCATTTACTTCTTATGTTAACAGTATGTGGTTGTTTTCGCAACCATAACATTATCTTTTCCTATGCTATTGCACAGCAATGTTTTTCATGTATACCCAAGTCAGGTCACGTGAGCGCCTGTAAACAAACATCGCTAAATCGCTCTATTGAGGACTTCATTTACAATTAAAAATTTACAAATACATATAACAGTATTACAGTCTTCTAATACTGTACAGGGAAAATTTCCCTTTGTTAGATACCATCTAACATAAGATAAATAAAATTATGAATTTCTGTATTGCAGGCTATGCAAAAGTTGTAATTTATAGATCTAAGTAACAAAGGAATCAGAAAAGACCTCTTCAACATTTGTTACAATAAAAAAATTTTACAGTAAAATGCACTGGATTGTTTGTAAAGATCCCAATAAGAAAAATGTCTTACTTTTGTGGTACAATGTGTGTGAGCGCTGGACTAGTTGCCCCTGGTGTTCCATGGATTCCAACAGCACACTAGCAAAATGAAGGAAAAGTAAAGTTTAAAGTTAATCCACTATTCATGTACACAATCAAATCACATACTCTATCCACTTACCATACATATTTCATTACAGTATTTCATTTATTATACTCAAAGATATATAACTGGTTAAATTGCAAAACATGTACAATGACAACAAAAAAATACAACACAAACAGGCAGAGACAGAGTTCCTAGAAAGTGAACCAAATCACTATCTGGTAGTTCTCCCATTGCACTGTTTGGAGATAATACAGTGAACTTGCTTAAGTCAAATCCAAAATGCCATTGAAATATTGTTCGACTTCGATAAAATTTGACTTACAGATTGTTAATTAATGGAAAACACAACAATTTGGTTTGTAAAATAATATCGACTAAGAAATTATTCAACTTAGGCAAGTTTAACTGTACATTAGAATAAACACATGATAATAATAATATAATGTAATAAATAATCTCCATTAAATATATAAATAACTGTTAATTGATAAACATATCCAATCTACAAGGATAAGTTTGAGACTTTGGGAAATGCAACAGGTCTCAAAACATGGATACATATTATCATTTGCTTTGGCCACTGCCATATTTTCATGTTAATTTTACTAAGGTTCATTTTCCATATTGAAAAACTTTCTACAGCCAAAATGCTTACACATTTTCAAATATCTTTCAAATGATTGAAGACCACTGATCTCTACTATAATAGCTGGATTGCTCATTGGCCAATCCTGGTACAGAAAAAAGTGATGTACCTGTTTAGAAAAGTTTCTTTTTGCATTTTTAAAAAAAAGTTACAGTTAAAAATAATGAGTCTTGTAATACTTTTCAATAATAAATTTAAATTTAACATAGGAATTATTTTTTTTCAAACCATCTAACCACTAGACGCAATTGTTTATGCAGGTTTCAAAAGTGCGAGCGAAGTCACGTTGTTATAGTGACGTCGATCCCTAACAACGCAAATGATTTTGCTTGCGCTTTCTTAAACTGCATAAAAAGTTACATCAAGTAGATAGATGATTCAAAAAATAATCATTACGTTAAATTCAAATTTATTATTAAAAAGTTTAGCAAGAATCGTTATTTTGAACAATAATTAAATGCGAAAAGAAACTTGTCCAAACTGATAAGTCACTTCGGCCCTCCAACATGGCGTCGATGGCCTCAATAAAACCAGCCAATGAGCAATCCAGCTATAACAGTAGAGATCAGTGTTAAAGACAAGGCACTTTCCCCAAATAAACTCATTTATAGCATCTTATAGAGAGAATTCAAGATATTAATCATCATCAAATTTTGCCAGCATTATATATACGGTCTCATAGACAGCTCAACTATGACTATTTTTTTTGCAAAATGAAACAGGTGCTTCACAGATTTATACGGTTGCCTTACCCTTGTTTCAACATCTGTCCATTCGCCACTGTTCTCTTCATCAGATGCACGGCGTTTACGCTCTACGCTCTTGCGTTCGGTACTGCCTGGTAACTCTTGACGTAGCTTCTCAACGTCGGTGAATTGCACAGATCTTCCACCACCCCTCGTCTCAAAAATGTCACCCTATGGCAGAAGAGTTACTTAAAATTGTAATAAACCAAATTTCATTCAAGGTTGATAAAACACAACTACCTTTATTTACTTAACAATACTTACTGATATAAAAATATAACTCTACTATTTAACAACATTATTTAACTGAATGGAAAAAAGTCTTCATATACACAAACTAAACTTCACTCTCTCACAACTTTTAACCAAGTTAATATTGCTGTAACAAGGTTAAGTAAATATTAACAGAAATAGGATAACCAACTGTGAAAATGAGGGCGCTATAATGTTATTCTCTCAAAGACCATGGACTTTTTTAAATTTTTACTTTTATTGTTTTCAAATCATTTTTACATTGTTTGTACATGTCAAGCATCGAATAAATTCAATCAATTAAGCCTGGTTATCACGAGAGCCCTAGTATCCCGATAACCGTTAGCAGTATCTGGATACCGCTAACAGTTAGCAAGTGCTATCGGTTAGCAAATTGAGCGCGTTTCTATCATGAACCAATCACACGTACAGGTTTACAATTTCCAGTTTCCTATTGGCCAGTGATTCCATCATCATATTTTTGGTATCCGGATCGGGTTTTTGTATGGACGCACAGCAGCTAACGGTTAGCAGCCGTGTGAGAACATAGCCTAAATCAATCCAGCATTCTGCAGTTAGTATCTACCTAGATGAGTCAACTCACCTTGAATATCTTAGTTTCGATCTCTCCCTTGGAGTCCTCCTCCTGATGGGTCAACATGTAGTTGGACGCTGCCTTCACATCTTTCACAGCTTTTACATTTGTGATCGTCTTTTTCTTCTTGACCCCAGAAGGTTGCATAACAGTTTCTGAAAAGTATCAAGAACAATATTTCAAGGATTCTTGTTTTACAACACTAATAACACATTAGATACTTTAAAAAAGATTGAATTAGTAAATCATCTGTCATCAATCTGGTAGAGATGATAGTTGTATATTTCTAACCCTCAAATTATTATTTTATAATAACCTTGGAATCATAATTCCTGCTAATTTAGCTGGACTCAGTTATTCATTAATTAAACGTTTACATCAAATGTGTTGTGATTTGAGACAATCTTTGATTGTAGAAAATGCTACATTGAACCATAAATTGCAGAGAAATCAATCAGGGAACACAGGTGGTAAGAATGTGTGGGCACTGAACCGTGGAGAGCTTGTATCTGTGGTTCTATACTACAAGGCTGTTCTTCCTGTGAAACAGCGTTAAAGCGTGCCTCATTCAAAAGTGATGTTTAGCCGTTGATTCCATGTACAACATAATCCATATACACCTTAAGTATACAATGCATGCGAATTTACCTGCAGGATTGGTGTAGTACTACGCTGCTGCGAGGCCCCAAGCCAAAAATTGTTTTCTATCCTTCGTGAAATATGACTTTTTATATTTATCAAATTTATCACATTAATTAAGGACCCATGATTGTGTATCACATGCATCACCTACCTATTCCAATTGTAGATGATGGTTTGTGATCGATCCACACATTGTCAGTTGCAGAACGTGAACGTCTGTGCCTGAGTTTGACTGGGGGTGGATTGCGCTTAGGTGGGGGAGATTTTGATCTGTTGTGCGCAAGAGCAGCCTTCCTCTCCCTTGCTTTGTTTGAAGCTGCCTCCC